CAAATATTAAAAATATAAAAATATATATATTAAAAATATTTTAAAAAGTTATACAAGTTGAATTCAATGTTAAGACCCTTAGGTTCTAATGTGTGAACCCATTTCATTTCTTCTTTCCCTATATGTTGGATAAAGTTACCTCCTCGCCATGGTTTCTTAATTAGTTGAATACCTAACAATGTAAGGCCACTGGGGTCACTATTATGGTACCTTTTAAAGTGGGCAGATACACTATTGTGACGAGACCAATCTTGCCACATTGCATTGGAGAAGCCTGGTTGCTCGCCTGTTGCCTTTGGATTATGGCCCCATGTTAAAAGGCTTGATTTTCCCCTGAAAAGACATGAAAGCCGGGTCATTTGGTGCTTGCCCTGTTTGAGCGGTAATACCCCAGATAGCTATGCCATGGAGCCTATTCGTATAATGAAAGACTATGGGAAAGACTTTGGCTCCATGGCAATTGATCTGTATGTGTGTGCTCTGAGCGCCATTCAGTAATAATGTGCGCTCAGATCTGAGCTATCTGGGGATATGTTGAATGTAACTGTTTTGTGCAATGGCTGCACAGTTATATGTTTTTATGTGTTTTATTGTCTTTTGCTGCAATGTGTTTTATTGTCTTTTGCTGCCATGTGTCTTTGGAGATAATTGGATTACTTCCCAATTATCTCCAGGATAGAAGACTCTGTGGAACTGGTTTTGGGCAGAAAAACCATGCTTCCTTTGGTCACAAAGGACTACAATCTATCTTTTGAACCATTGGACCAATTTGTATGAATTTGACATATGCTTGTATCTGGAGTATGCTGATTCTGAAAATGTAAGTTTTATGTGAATGTGATGCATACTTTTCAAGTTATAAATAATGTGGAAAAAAAATATTTCTCTGCTTGTTATAATTACATTACCCATTGTGTAAGGTAATTGTATCACAGGCAGAGGGGAGAATTTTGTGTGGGAGTGTCTGAGTGTATTGTATGTGTTTATTGGTTGTGTTCCAAAACCCTGTGGGTGGTACTAATGTGTAAGAATGTGTACATAAGCACAATGTACACATGTTGAGGGTCACTGCTTGACCCTCAACACGGAGCTTTGTCTCGTTCTTGGGGGGATTTATTGTATGCTGTTCCAGTTCGACTGCTAGGAGTGTAAACCTATTCGTATGGTTTTTCCTATTCGGCTGTTTACAGCATTCATATGGTTTCCTGTTCGGCGGATTGGTGTTCTGCAGTAGCTGTGCCTGTGTCTCTGGAAGGGAAGATCTACTAAACGTCGGTTTAACCCTTTTATGCCTGGGGGTGCCGTTACAACTATGATGATCTAAACCTTTACGAATATTGTTAACATGTTCATAAATCCTTTTGTGTAGGGACGGATGGTCCTACCCAGATATTGTAACCCACATGGGCATATTAAAAGATATATAATATTCTTAGTAAAACAAGTAATACAATCTTTAATAGTATATTCTTCCATTGCATATTTTGTCTTAAATTTACTGATCCCTTTTATTTGTTAATCAAGTTTTTATTAGCAATTAGGTACGATAAATTTCAGGGCTCGCAGGCCCACATCAGTCAAACAGTGAAGGTAGCATTTTTGAAGTATAACATATACATGTACATATGCAGGGATATTCCCTGTTCCAATATACAACCAATGATAGGGTACAATTCTGTTTATTTTCTAAAGCGTGACTTGAAAAATATTATCGTCACAGTATATCCTGGAGTCAGGGGCTTCCATATAGAGCTAGAGCTACGTGGGTATGGTTGCGCTCATATGTGCTCTAAGGATGCGGTTCCTTGATTGGGGTGAAGCCAGAGTAATTGTCGATGAATGTATGTTGTGTGCTTCAGTGTGAAGGATAATATCCTAACTAGTGGTCATGTGTAAGAGTGTATGGTGTCTGTCCGATACGAGATCCACAATGCAGGGATATGGGGAGTAGTGAGAAGAGATCCGTACGTACCCAGGGCTTAGTGTAGTCAGTCTACCCCTTTGTAATCCATCTGCAACCGACAGTGACCCTGTCCATATGGCAATCAAGTTGTTTCTATGGAAATGGGCTTGTTTGGTCGGTTGTGCGAGATTTGCGTCCTTTTCCCGTGTGTTAGAACCCATCCGGGTTGGGCGCCTTAGTTATTAACCTGGTTGAGGTTCTTGCTAGTCATCATGTTGTCGTGTTGCGGTATGTCAAAGTGAGGTCAGCTGTGAGGGCCCTTGCTTGGGTCTGTGTGGGTGCGGAGTATGTGTTTTCTAGGGTTCATCAGGAGAGGTATAGTGTCGTGGTGCATGTGTGTGTTGCTATATCTCGGGGCTGCTGCACACGTCCGTTAATCTGATTGTCAGCGTTGTCTTATAGAGGTGATATGCGTGCCATGTCCAGATGTGCTCAAGATGCCCCCCCTTGTGGTTCTGTGGGGATATGGGTCATGCCCTAAGAGTTACTGCGGGTCAGGGTTATCCGTCGTATCGGATGAGATCTCGTGTTCGTATTGAAGTGGCGGGGATGTGTTTATCCCCCAAATGTTGTGGATGGAGTGTGAGGTGTATCGGTTGAATCTGCGATCGTCAGGTGATCGATACTGAGTGTGGTTCATGTCGCATGGGTCTAGTGAGCTCCATATCGTCTCCCTGTCCTAGTCCCCCCCCCGGACCCCACTAAGGTTGCGAGCGGTATGTATACCATGGTGTCCAGGCTTCAGCGTGTTGAGCTTCCCTGCCCGTCATCTCCGCCTTCAGAGCTTCCGCTGCCCTGATATCCTCAACCCGGTGGATCCATTCCTCCCTTGTCGGGATGTCTGGTTTCTTCCAGTATACCGGTATGAGCGATTTGGCCGCATTCAATAGGTGACGCATGATAGATTTTTTGTATGTGGATAGTGGTCGCTTGGATATGTGTAGCAAGGCTAGTTCCTCTGACCATTCAAGGTCATCTCCCAGGATCAGTTGAATGTCTGATTTGATCCGGTCCCAGTATGGGGCAATGTGTTTACATTCCCACCATATGTGGTGCATGTTCCCCCTATCCTCCTGGCATCTCCAACACGTTGGTGGTGTAGTGGGGAAGATCCTATGTAACAGTACAGGTGTTCGATACCACATAGAAAGCAACTTGTAGTTCACCTCTTGATAGTGAGAGCTGGAGGAGCTTTTGTGCTGCCAGAGCAAGGCCTTGTCCCATTGTGCTGTTGTGAAGGACTTAGCCATGGCTCGTTCCCAGTGTCGTTTGAAGAGGTTGTTTTCCGAGGTGGGGCTGGTCAGTATGTATTGGTAGAGGTTCGAGATTGCTTTCCCTAATGACGTGCCCCTGGAGCAGAGTTGCTCGTACCATGTGAGGTCTCTTTGCAGCTTTTCTTTGTGCGGGAGTGTGTTGAAATAATGTTTCAGTTGCATGTATGGAAAAACCGCCATATGTGAGCGCGGTCTTGATTCCAGTAGCGCGTCCAGAGTCCGCAGGGCGCCATCCCGAATGACCTTATGTATTGGGATGTATCCTGCTTCACCCTAAGAATGACCAGGCGTCTGGCGGCAGACCGCCTCCTATACTGGGGTTATGAGCGATTGGCAGCAATGGGCAGGGAGTTGGGGAGATTTGTGATGTTTCCCTGAGTTGTTCCCATGTGAGAAGTGTTTGTGTAACTGGGTCATCGTCTCCTCTTCTGTTGCCTCTCGTTGCCCGCCTTTTCCAAATTGCAGCCTTCAGTTTTGCACTGTCTCCTTCTTGGTCTAGGATCACCCATTGTTTGGTCGTCTCTAATTCGTGCCACTCCAAAATCCGTTGTAGCGTCGCTGCTTGGTGGTATTTTTTAAAATCGGGTAGGGCTAAACCCCCCCTATGTCTGGGCATGCACAGTATTTCATGACGTATCCTGGATCTTTCTCCCCTCCATACATACCTGATCACTTCTGATTTCAGAGTTGAGAAGAATTTTGCCGGCGGCGCCATCGGTATAGTCTGGAATAAGTATAGCGCTCTCGGGAGAACGTTCATTTTAAGGACCGCTATCCGGCCGTGCCATGTAATATGTGGATAGGACCATCTTTTCAGGTCGGATTCAATGCCGTGCAGTAGGGTTGTGAAGTTGCATTGGTATATGTCCTGTGGATTTGTGGTGATCCATATGCCGAGGTATTTCATTGCTCCCGTACACCATCGAAATGGGAAGAGTGGGCCGAGGGATACGTAGTCCGCTACGGGTATGGTGAGATTTAGTGCCTCACATTTTGCTAGATTGAGTTTAAACCCAGAGATTCGGCCGAATCTATCCATCTCAGAGAGTATACATGGCAGTGTGATCCGAGGCTGGGAGACAAAGAACAAAAGATCGTCCGCATAAGCAGCTACCTTATGTTCCGTGTCCTGCCAGGTGTAACCGTGTATGTCCTGACGGTCTCGAATCGCTTGCAGAAGTGGCTCCAGAGAGAGTGCGAAAAGAAGCGGGGATAAGGGGCAGCCCTGCCTGGTTCCATTCGCAATTCCAAAACTCGTGGTCAGCGCTCCATTGACGCGTACCGTCGCCCTTGGTGTGCTATATAGTGCAGTAATCCACGCCATGGTTCTCTGGCCAAGACCTATAAACCGGAGGGTTTGAAACATGTATTCCCAGTTGACCCGGTCGAATGCCTTTTCGGCGTCTGTGGACAGTAGTAAGAGTTGTTTTCGAAACTTCCGTGCATGATGTTGTATAGAAAATAGGCGTAATGTGCTGTCTCGTGCCTCTCGACCTGGGATAAATCCAGTCTGATCCGCGTGGACAAGGTTTGGTAACGTCCTTTGAAGTCTAGTTGCCAATACTTTCGTCAGGAGTTTCGTGTCCACATTCAGCAGAGAGATCGGGCGATAGCTGCCACATTGTTCCGGGTCCTTCCCGGGTTTGAGCAGGACCGCGATTGTTGCCGTCAGGGACTCCGTGCCAAAGTGTCCCCCCTCCGCAACTTTGTTTACTGCTTTCGTTAGCCATGGTAGGAGTGTCGTAGCAAAGTGTTTGTAGTACCCTGTAGAGAACCCATCTGGTCCAGGGGCTCGTCCAGTTTTCGTGCCCTTCAACGCTGCGGCTAAGTCCTCCGTGCTAATCGGTTCGTCAAGTATATCTGCCGTCTCAGGATTCATCCGTTTCCGCACGTTGTCTTGCAGGTATGTTTGTATGAGTGAGGATGATTCCCGTCTATGGGCTGTGTCCTCTGGTGGGTAGAGGTTATAGAGGGAGTTGGAATATTCCCGGAATTCACCTGCTATTTCTTCAGGATATGGTGATATACTGCCCGTTGATAAGCGAAGTTTCCTCACTTGCGTGCGTGGTGTGTCTCCTCTCAAGAGGCGGGCGAGGAATTTCCCACCTTTATTTGCATGGGTGTAAAAGAAGGACCTCGATCTTTGGAGTGAGTGGTGGTGTCTTTGCGTGAGTAGGGTCTGCAAAGTTCGTCTGGCTTCCATCAGTTCACCATATGTTGAGGTTAATATGAATACCGCACTCAAAAAAGATGATTCTTGTGAAATCTAAACTGTATTGAATTGCAAGAATATTTATTATAATAGTAATTCATAGGTTAATCAAGTAAACCTTAGTGAAGTTCATTCCAATCATATATATACATCGAATATTTACATATATACACACAAAAAACCTCCCTGTGCTGAGTTTCATGAACTATATATCTATATACATAGGTTGTGGATCCAAAAAATGCATGAAAATAAGAGGAACAGGGGCCTTTGAAGGGACAGGAACGTCCCGAGCGCGCAGCCCATTTCAGCCCGATTCACAGGACTGCCCACGATTTCGAACTCAGGAAAAGACCTGCTAGACTGACCAGATACTACAAAAGGGACGAGTGATTACTTTCTCTTTGAGCTACAACTCATTTTCACCCATCTTCACTTTGATTCAATATACATCATCTACAAGATCTACCACCCTCTTACTGAATATACTATAAAGTTCACGTGAGATCCTTCTATAAATTTATGAATTATATGAAGTATATAGTGCACTATATTTTGGACTATCAATAGGACTGGAAAATATATACATTTTTTTCATTCATTTTTTCTTCTTTTTTTCTTTTTTTCTTTTTTGCTTTTTTTCTGCCTTTTTCCCCTTTTTTTACTATATTTTTCTGGACATTTTATTTTCATGCATTTTTTGGATCCACAACCTATGTATATAGATATATAGTTCATAAAACTCAGCACAGGGAGGTTTTTTGTGTGTATATATGTAAATATTCGATGTATATATATGATTGGAATGAACTTCACTAAGGTTTACTTGATTAACCTATGAATTACTATTATAATAAATATTCTTGCAATTCAATACAGTTTAGATTTCACAAGAATCATCTTTTTTGAGTGCGGTATTCATATTTGTTTTTGGATTTAGATTAGGAGGTTGTTGTGGGGTTAAACCTCGAATACCTGCACCTTGCATAATTGAGTGCCAACACTTATTGTGTTTTTTATATGTTGAGGTTAGTTGGGAACGTTTGTGTAGGGATTCCAGGCGTGTGATGGATTTATACGCGTCTGCCATCGCCCGGGTGGACTCCTTCCTTTTGCGAGATGCAATGCCGATGAGGGTACCACGTATAACACTCTTATGTGCTTCCCACACCGACACCGGAGATATCTCATCTGTTCCGTTCTCGGCAAAGTAGTTTTCCAGTGCCTGTGTGATCTCCCCTCTTACCCCAGGGTCCTGGAGCAGGGATTCATTCAGGCGCCACGTCCATGTTGCGGGCTTAAACAGCGAGGATTCCAATTCGACCCTGACTGAGCCGTGGTCTGACCAGGTGGCCGGTTCTATAGAGGCTGTGCGCAAACGGGAGAGCCCTTCTTGCTTGATGAACACATAATCTATGCGGGAATAACGTTTGTGGATCACCGAGTAATGCGTGTAGTCCTTGGTAGAGGGGTGAAGCATCCTCCAGCAGTCCACCAATGCTAGTTCACCTAGCGTTTTGCGGATGGATCTAATGCAAGATTGTGAGAGGCAACTATGGCCAGTGGATGAATCCATGAGAGGGTCTAATGGGACATTAAAGTCTCCCCCCACTATCAGTGCTCCCTCCGAGAATCCATGCAGTTTGTGTAGTGTCCCGCGAAGGAATTGTGCTTGCTTAGAATTGGGGACGTATATGGTCGCGAGAGTGTACATTCTGTCGGCTATCGTTCCTTTCAGGAAAAGGAAGCGCCCTTGATCGTCAGCCAATCTGTCCAGTTCTTGGAAATCTAGGTTTGCAGCAAGCAGTATCACAACCCCCGCCCGGCGAGCGGTCGGGTGATTGTTGCAGTAGTGTAATGGGTGATGAGCGCTTCGGAGTTTTGGAGCAGCGTTCTCCCAAAAGTGAGTTTCTTGTAGCATCGCTATCGATATGTGTTTCTGTCGTAGGATTCTTAATAGGTGAGAGCGGCGTTCCGGTATATTCAAGCCTCTGCAGTTGAGGGTCATGACGGACAGGGGAGCGCGATTATACGCCATAACTTCCTCTGCGGCCGTATGCTCCGGCTCCCAGGGGGGGTATCCAGGCGGGGTGATCGGCCAGGGAGACAATGCCAGCTAGTGTAGGCGTACGCGTGACTATGAGGTGTAGTGTCCTATGCGTCCGTTGCAGTGCTAGTTATGGGTGGGTATGCAAGCGTCCCGTGAGCTATGGGTCTCGTTCAGGAGGTGTCCCCCCTCGTTATCTGTGTCAGGCCGGAACGTGTGCCGCAGCCGTGAGGGTTGGTGTGGATGTGGGTGAGTGCGTGTGGGTGTATTTAAGGGTAGTATGCGATTGGTATCGGTAGTAGGAGAATGTTGATTGTGTGGGTAAAAAATAGAGTGGAATATATATAATAAAATAGGGGGTGATCCGAGTGGGTCCCTCCCTTGGGGTATGTCCCCAGCGGGGTAAAAGGTGGGTGTAACCCCGAGATCTCCAAAAAGAGGAGAGTCACTTGCGTCTCAATAGGAGTGGCCAGGTGTCACTCCGATAACCAGATCGGTGGGTGAACAAGCCTGTGGCTCCTTTGAGGATTCTGCGCAAGTGAGAGTATAGAGCAGTGGGCGGAGTCCAAGCCCGAGTGGGCGTGGTCTGTGTGTCGTGGGTAAGTCGGGTTCTCGTCTATCTCGTTCCAACCAGTGTCCAGCCCAAGTGTGTATAGTCGTGGGAGGAGCAAACAATCAGGGGATCAAACAGAAATATAGCAGGTTAAACGTTGTGATCGTAAACAATAACAGTATGAGTATCAACAACAATTGGCGGTAACATTTATCCACCTTCCCCCCCAGCACTCCCCACCAGGAAGTCTAATCACCCGCTCCGCCCCGGGGCAAGCCCCCCATAACAATTGTGTCTCCCACTTATCTTCCAAGATGTGTCATGAGAGATATAGCGATCCTAAATCTGCCCGGGCACCTATTGTCTGATCGATGAGGATATCTAGCCATAGTGTCTCTATCCTTCCTGTTGTGTGCTATGTTCGGGGTGAGGTATGGTAAATCCCAGGGCATCTTCCCCATGGTTCTTATTAAAAGTAGTTAACTCCCTAATGTTCCCGTGGGGGTGTTCCATTTGGCTGGCCCCCTCTAGCCCTCATGTTCCAGGTAATTTCCCACACACCCGTCTGTCCCTCTGTTACAGTCTACATATTCAGGAGACATAGCCAAAGCATCAGCAATATTTAGCACAATAAATAACAGGGGAGAGAAAGCAATTAAGCGGCATAACTTCAAGCAAAGATACTTAGCAGGTGCGAATAGTCCTGGATTCGCTGTTGATTTCGTGCATGTTGGTGATGTCACAGGTAAGTCCAGTCACGGCACTAATCCATGCATAGTCAAGCCAAAGCAGCCGTGGTCGTGTCAGCGCAGGAACAGAGTATGCCCAGAGCTCCCCCCAAATCACCCCACCACCCCAATGCCACATCAAAGGGCCCCCGAGAACGCTCCTGGAGGGTCATGAGACCGTGAGGGCAAGGAGAGGCACAACGGGGTCATTCTTATAAGTGCACAAGGGGGAGGTCAGTCCAGGTTGTAACATTGCCAGGTGTGCACTCAGTCTCGGGTAGTCGCTATTCCCGGCAGGTGAAGTTATGTTCGTGCATATTGTGGGGTAGGATCAGTCACTACTCTTGCAGCGTTTCTCAAGTCCATCATGACCTTGTTCAGTACTGTCCAGTCTCGTGATGATATCAGGGCCGTTGTATACGTATCGGCCGAGCCCCTTAGCTCGGGTCAGGCGGCTGGGGGCAGCCCAGGGGCAGATAGGGCATCAGCGACCGGGCAGATCAGCGCAGTCTGGGTGGCGGTTGTCACTCTTGAGCCCCTCCTGCGTCTTGACGGCGGCGAGGTGGGCCTTGTGGGGACCTTCCCCTGCGACGGCGGGGTGCACGTTGCGGTCTCGGGCCGACGTCTAGTGGTCCCAGGACCCAATCAGGTATAGGTACAGGCGGTAGACCCAAGTCCTCTAGGAACTTGGGTACCTCTTCTGGCCAGCGGATTGATACCCAGCCGTTCTGGTGTCTCGCCAAGAGGGCGAACGGAAAGCCCCATTTGTAGGTGATGTTGTGGTCCCTTAGGAGCGTCGTGATGGGCCGCAGCGCTCTCCTAGCTTCGAGAGTAACTGGGGATAGGTCATTAAATAACGAGATACGTGCCCCCTTGTGTTCCCAGGTGGGACGGGATCTGGCCGCCTTCATGATGGCGTCTTTCACAGCAAATGAATGTAGGCAGCATATTATGTCACTTGGACCCTCCTCTAGGGAGCGAGGTCTGAGCGCCCTATGTGCCCTGTCATACCTGATCTCCATTGGGGTGTCACCGGGCAGAATCAGGCGGAAAAGGGCCGTCAGCTCTGTTTCAACATCTTCCTCACCGTCAGCTTCTGGCATACCGCGCACGCGGATGTTGCAGCGGCGCCCGCGGTTATCGAGGTCTTCTACCGTTCTCCTGAGCTGTAGGAGCATGTCCCCTTGCCTAGCAACGGCCGTGTCGGTTGAAGTCAGTCTGGCATGGTGGGCCTCGTGGGAGCGTTCCAGGGTAAGGACTCGGGTACCCTGCGCTGCCACCTCCGTCCGAATTCCGGCCATTTCAGCTCGCAGGGCATCCTGTATAGTGGTGGTAAGTACCAGTAGGTCGGCCTTGGTGGCCATGGAGGCCGCGATAGTGCGGAGTTCTTCCCCGATACCGTCCAGCGTGGAGGCAGAGGGGGCTCCGGGTGCGGAGGAGGTAGACGCCATTTTGGAGCCTCTGGCCTCACCGCGTGTGTCTGCCGGCGTCTGAATAAATTCGTCCATCGGGCCCGAGTGTTGCGGTTGTGATCCCCTGGGGGTCCCTGGAGGTTCACCCCTTCGGCTCCGACCCATTAGCGCTGGTGATTGCTGTTTAATAGGGCGGTGTAAGGACCGGTGGAGCGGAGCTCGCAGCTTACACGTCCATTTCGGTCGGCATCCAAGCCACGCCCCTACTGATCCCTTTTAAAGTATTATTCTTACTACACTTACATCCTACACATTTTCCACATGAATAAAAACCTTTTCTGTTTATGTTTAAAAATGTTTCGGGCGCCTCTTTTCTTGGATGATTAAAAGTTAAGATTTGTTTTAAACTAGGCGCACCCCTAAAAGTAATAAAAGGTTTATCCGGAATAATTGTCGATAATTCTTTATCTTTTTTTAAAAGGTGCCAGTGTCTCTTAATAATTGACTTAACTTTCTTAGAATTCTGATTAAAATCTAAAACCAAAGGTACCTTATCAAATTTATTTTGTTCATCATTATAGTTACTTTGTTTAAAAACTAATTAATTTTGATCAAATTCTTTAATTTCACCATAAGCTCTATTTAGTATGTTAGTGGGATATTGTTTTTGAGAGAATTTATCTATCACTATTTTTGCTTGTTCTTCAAAAACATGTTGTTCAGTGCAGTTCCTTCTTACCCTTTGCAATTGACTTTTTGGAATGTTATTCAGCCATGGGGTGTAGTGCCCACTGTTATATAAAACATAACTGTTGGCATCTACTTTTTTTAAAAAGTTTTTTGTTTTTAAAATACCCGCATCTTCATAAATTTCTAAATCTAAAAAATTAATATTATGGCTATTAAAAGAACTGCTAAAATTTAAGCCCCACTCATTTAGATTAATACTTTCTAAAAAAACCCTCTAGATCCAATTGTGTGCCTTTCCATATAAAAAATATATCAACTATATATTTATGATAAGAGACCAGGTTCGTCCCCCAGTTCTGGCTGGTGTAAATAACTTCTGTTTCCCAGCCTGACATAAATAGATTAGCGTAACTAGGGGCGAACCTGGTCCCCATAGCATTACCTTGTAGTTGTAGATAAAATCTGGAGTTAAAATTAAAATAATTATTTTCTAAGATCCATCTAATGCTGTCGATTAAAAACAAAATATGTTTGTTACTAAAATTGCCCGATTTTTCCAAAATTTCTTGAATTATTTTACATCCCTTATCATGAGAGATGGAAGTGTAGAGTGCCGTTACATCTGAGGTTACCAAAAAGTAACCATCCTCCCATTTTGTGTTTTTTATAATCTTTATTACATCTGTAGTGTCCTTAAGATATGATGACATGTCTTTAACTAAGTCTTGTAGCCAAATATCCACATATTTGGAAAGATTGGCTGAAATGGATCCAATACCGGACACAATCGGCCTGCTCGGAGGGTTCTCTAGATTTTTATGTATCTTGGGCAAGGTATAAAATACAGGTACTCTGGGAAATTCAACTAGTAAAAACCTATATTCATTTTCATTTAAAATACCTTCTTCTTTACCTTTTTTTAAAAGGGTTTCTAATGAAGTTTTAATCTCTATAATTGGATCTTTTTCTAATGTCCTATATATCTTTTTATCTTCCAATTGTCTATAACATTCTTTTAGATAACTAGTAGTATCTCGAATCACAATACTGCCCCCCTTGTCAGCAGGCTTTATTATTATTTCTTTATTGTTTCTCAAATTTTGTAGAGCCTTATATTCATTAAAACTTAAATTCAAATCACGTTTTTGCTTGCCTTTCCCTAATTTATCGAAATCCTCAATAACAGATTTTTCTAAAATTTCTATAGTACTTGTTCGGTAATTTCTTGGATAAAAATGTGATTTATTTTTTAAAACAGTATGATTATCGCTTTTCTTAAAATCCGTATATTTATTAATTTCAAAAAATCGTTTTAAAGTGAGTGTTCTAGAATATTTCAATATATCAATTTATGCTGAAAAAGAATTAAAATTTCTACTGGGGAAAATTTCAAACCTTTATTAAGAGTTCTAATTTCATAATTGTTCGGAACGAATTTGGACAAATTAATTACTCCCTCCAATTGGACATTCTTCCTTTTTTTTCGCTGTTGTAACCTTGTTCCTCCTCTACATCCTCTCTGTCCCTCCTTCTTTTCAGGGAGGAAAAGGAAACTTTTCCCCTCGTCATCCCTAAAAAATCATTCTGTCTAGAGTCTGATTGATCTTGTGATAGAACCTCATATCTATTTGATAATGTCAAATCTCTATTTTTATATAAGGGACTTCTATTTCATTCAGATCTATTATAATACCTGTTACGAGGTTCTACTTTTTTCCATTCATTTCCCTTATTTGCATCTGAGGTTCTCCACTTGGGGATGTCCAGTTTAGGGGTATTATAACTATCTATTCTCCTTCTGTTGTATCCATTTTGTTTATACTTATAATTATTTAATCTTCTACTGCTGTATTCATTATTTTCACGATCAGTATAATTTCTCTGATGGTAGTTTCTAACCTTCTCATATTTATAATCATCCATATCTCTTTTATACTTTTTATATTTCATTTGTTTTACCTGCTCTTCCAATTTATTGAGGTTAGCTTTGGTAGATTTAGTCAGTTCCTCATAATCTTTAGTCTCAACTGCTGGTTCTAAAACTTTTTGTATTTCCTTGACCTCTTTATCTAAATCAGTCAAATTCTCACTTCTACATAGTATAACTATGTTCATCATCTAGGAACCTTCTTGGAACATAATTACAACAGATTCAAGAGAATGGATGCTTCATCCAACAGTTTTTACCCCAGATCAACCTGATGGCAACCTCTCAGAAATGTCAGGTAAATAATTTCTACTCTCTCCGACTGGACAATTGGGCGATGGGCCAGGATGCTCTCTCCCTTTCTTGGTCATTCGATTTGGGGTATGCGTTCCCTCCCCTACCCATGATACCCAGATTTCTGTGAAAGGTTTGGACAGGCATCATGTCAGAAGACCGCTGAGCGGCATCCCCTTCGGAAGGTAATTATCTCAGTTTTTGCCACATGGAAACAAAGGATACGTAACTAGAGTTGTTCAGTGCTTTACAGGTGTGAATTAGTACCTTGAATTGAGTCCTATAGGATACAGGAAGCCAATGTAAGGACTGACAGAGGGGTGAGGTGTGAGAGAACCGACTAGAGAGGAAATTCAGTCTGGTGGCAGCGTTCATTAGAGACTGTAGCAGGGCAATACGGCTTTTGGGAAGACCAATCAGGAGAGGGTTGCAATAATCCATGCAGGAAATTACTAGAGCATGGACAAGCTCCTTGGTAGCATCTTGTGTAAGAAAGGGGTGGATACAGGCTATGTTTTTAAGATGGAATCTACAGGATTTGGCAACATACTGGATGTGAGGCTCAAAGGTGAGGCCAGAATCAAGTATGACGCCAAGACAGCGTGCTTGCAAGGATGGACTTATGTGGATACCACTAACTTGAAGGGAGAACAAAAGAGGAGGATCAGTATTAGGAGGAGGAAATGCAAGTAGCTCAGTTTCAGAGAGATTGATTTTTAGAAAACGGGAGAACATCTAGTCAGAGATGGAAGAAATGCAAGCAGTGACACGTTGCAGGACAGCAGGAGAGAGGTCCAGGAGGAGAGATATATCTGGGTGTCATCAGCATACAGGTAGTAGTGGAATCCAAAAGAGGTAATACATTTTCAAAGAGAGGCAGTATAAAGAGAAAATAGAAGGGGACAAAGGACAGAGCCTTGGGGGACTCCAACTTGGGGTGGAGGTGGGGTGGAGGTATTATTAGAAAAGGAGACACTAAATGAGCATTGGGAGAGATAAGAGGAAAACCATGAGAGGACAGAGTTACAGAGACTGAGTGATTGAAGAGTTTGAAGAAGGAAAGCATGATCAACAGTGTCAAAGGCAGCAGAGAGGTCAAGGAGAATTAATATGGAGTAGTGGCCTTTGGATTTAGCTGCAATTAGGTTGTTAATAACTTTGATAAGCGCAGTCTCAGTAGAGTGGAGAGTGCGGAAGCCAGATTGAAGAGGGTCAAGGAGAGAGTTGAAATTGAGGAAGTGAGACACATGGTTAAAGACAATTTAAGGAAAAAGGGAGCAGGGATATAGGATGATAGTTAGAGGGGGATGTTTTTTTCAGGATAGGTACTACAGTGGCATGTTTAAGGTCAGCAGGGACAATGCCAGAAGATAGAGAGCAGTTGAAGATATGTGTTAAGAAAGGCACAATACAAGGAGAGAGAGATCTGATAAGGTCATAAAGGACAGGAATGAGCGGTCAAGTGGTGGGGCGAGAAGAAAGGAGAAACGCAGCCACCGCTTGTTCAGGGGAGGGTGGGCAGCCTTCCAGAGTGGATACCTCTGCTTAGAAGATTCTGCAGGGCTTGGTTGCTTGTTAGTGCTGGGTGTTAATTAATGCTGTTTTTAGGGGCCCAGTCTGAAATATAAAGTCTGGGGTTAGAAAAAAAAGAAATAAACACACTATTATGGGTGGGGAGACATGGCGATATTGAGGTAATTAGAGATGAAAAACAAATACATATATGTTGTAGGAACATTAGAACACATACCATATTGAATTCATTAAGTTATCCTCAATCATCATCGTCCTCAATGAAGAGACATGTTGCACTTGATGAATGGGGCACTGCACAGTCCACCCTCAGTTGTTTGGTACTTGTTGAAGGCTGCACCTCACTTGTTTCTGATTCGTTTGAGACAGAACTAGTCACAGCAGCTTTCTGTAGACAAGCTGTGATAGTGGTTTGCTTCCAACACATTCTTTTCTTTTTCGTTGTAAATTTCCTTATAGCAGGCATTGGCATTTCTTAGATCTCTAGCAACTTTGGTACTTCTCTCAAAGTTAGAATCTTGTGACTCAAAAATATTAATTGCCTTTTCTATGTGTTGAAATGCTTCCTCAATGCCTTTCAAAGTGAAAAAATGAACAGGAGTTTCAGGTGCTGGAACATCTTCTACCTCTTCAACTTCCTCTTGTTCTTCCATATCTAAGAGGTCTGCATTTGTAAGTTCTTCCTTGTGCGCTTCAAGAAGGTCATTTATGTCAGTTGCAATGACGTCCAGGTCCAATCTGTTGGCAAGAGTAACTATTGGTTCTGTGTTCTGCTGTACAATTTCTGCTGGTTCTTCAAACCCTTCAACATTAGTACCAAACAACTGAGGGCAGAGCTTTTTCCAAACACCTTTCATGGTTTTCTCTGAAATTTTGTTCCAGGCATATGCTGTAATTTTTATTGCATCTAAAATAATAAATGATTTTCTCCAAAAATCTTTAAGACTTTGATCTGTCTCGTTATCTGTTGTTTTAATCAACGTTTCAAATGTCTGCCGAAGATACAGTGCTTTAACCCCTTAAGGACTGAGCCAAATGTACACGGTGTGAACGAAACAAAATGTAAACAAAACCTGGCATTTGCGCTACATATCTGTCCAACCGTAATTCACCTCTTTCATATTAAATGCACCCACCCTTATTATATATCATTTTATTCAGGGGAAACAGGGCTTTCATTTAATATCAAATATTTAGCTATGAAACATAATTTAATATGAAATAAATTGGAGAAAATAATATTTTTTTTTATTTTTTTTTGTTCTACATGACATTTTAACTGTCAATGTCATAATACTGTTTGCTTTTACTGCAATAAAATACACATATTTGTATTCAGCAAAGTCTCACGTGTAAAACAGTACCCCCTATGTACAGGTTTTATGGCATTTTGGGAAGTTACATGGTCAGATATAGCACGTTACATTTGAAATTGAAATTCGCCAGATTGGTTACGTTGCCTTTGGGACTTTATAGTAGCCCAGGAATGAAATTTACACCCATAATGGCATACCATTTGCAATAGTAGACAACCCAAGGTATTGCAAATGGGGTATGTCCAGTCTTTTTTAGTAGCCATTTGGTCACAAGCACTGGCTAAAGTTAGTGTTAGTATTTGTTTGTGTGAAAAATGCAAAAAACACCAATTTGGGCCAGTGTTTGTGACTAAGTGGCTACTAAAAAAGACTGGACATACCCCGTTTGCAATACCTTGGGTTGTCTACTATTGCAAATGGTATGCCATCATAGGGGTAAATTTCATTCTTGGGCTACCATAGGGTCTCAAATTCTCACTTCTACATAGTATAACTATGTTCATCATCTAGGAACCTTCTTGGAACATAATTACAACAGATTCAAGAGAATGGATGCTTCATCCAACAGTTTTTACCCCAGATCAACCTGATGGCAACCTCTCAGAAATGTCAGGTAAATAATTTCTACTCTCTCCGACTGGACAATTGGGCGATGGGCCAGGATGCTCTCTCCCTTTCTTGGTCATTCGATTTGGGGTATGCGTTCCCTCCCCTACCCATGATACCCAGATTTCTGTGAAAGGTTTGGACAGGCATCATGTCAGAAGACCGCTGAGCGGCATCCCCTTCGGAAGGTAATTATCTCAGTTTTTGCCACATGGAAACAAAGGATACGTAACTAGAGTTGTTCAGTGCTTTACAGGTGTGAATTAGTACCTTGAATTGAGTCCTATAGGATACAGGAAGCCAATGTAAGGACTGACAGAGGGGTGAGGTGTGAGAGAACCGACTAGAGAGGAAATTCAGTCTGGTGGCAGCGTTCATTAGAGACTGTAGCAGGGCAATACGGCTTTTGGGAAGACCAATCAGGAGAGGGTTGCAATAATCCATGCAGGAAATTACTAGAGCATGGACAAGCTCCTTGGTAGCATCTTGTGTAAGAAAGGGGTGGATACAGGCTATGTTTTTAAGATGGAATCTACAGGATTTGGCAACATACTGGATGTGAGGCTCAAAGGTGAGGCCAGAATCAAGTATGACGCCAAGACAGCGTGCTTGCAAGGATGGACTTATGTGGATACCACTAACTTGAAGGGAGAACAAAAGAGGAGGATCAGTATTAGGAGGAGGAAATGCAAGTAGCTCAGTTTCAGAGAGATTGATTTTTAGAAAACGGGAGAACATCTAGTCAGAGATGGAAGAAATGCAAGCAGTGACACGTTGCAGGACAGCAGGAGAGAGGTCCAGGAGGAGAGATATATCTGGGTGTCATCAGCATACAGGTAGTAGTGGAATCCAAAAGAGGTAATACATTTTCAAAGAGAGGCAGTATAAAGAGAAAATAGAAGGGGACAAAGGACAGAGCCTTGGGGGACTCCAACTTGGGGTGGAGGTGGGGTGGAGGTATTATTAGAAAAGGAGACACTAAATGAGCATTGGGAGAGATAAGAGGAAAACCATGAGAGGACAGAGTTACAGAGACTGAGTGATTGAAGAGTTTGAAGAAGGAAAGCATGATCAACAGTGTCAAAGGCAGCAGAGAGGTCAAGGAGAATTAATATGGAGTAGTGGCCTTTGGATTTAGCTGCAATTAGGTTGTTAATAACTTTGATAAGCGCAGTCTCAGTAGAGTGGAGAGTGCGGAAGCCAGATTGAAGAGGGTCAAGGAGAGAGTTGAAATTGAGGAAGTGAGACACATGGTTAAAGACAATTTAAGGAAAAAGGGAGCAGGGATATAGGATGATAGTTAGAGGGGGATGTTTTTTTCAGGATAGGTACTACAGTGGCATGTTTAAGGTCAGCAGGGACAATGCCAGAAGATAGAGAGCAGTTGAAGATATGTGTTAAGAAAGGCACAATACAAGGAGAGAGAGATCTGATAAGGTCATAAAGGACAGGAATGAGCGGTCAAGTGGTGGGGCGAGAAGAAAGGAGAAACGCAGCCACCGCTTGTTCAGGGGAGGGTGGGCAGCCTTCCAGAGTGGATACCTCTGCTTAGAAGATTCTGCAGGGCTTGGTTGCTTGTTAGTGCTGGGTGTTAATTAATGCTGTTTTTAGGGGCCCAGTCTGAAATATAAAGTCTGGGGTTAGAAAAAAAAGAAATAAACACACTATTATGGGTGGGGAGACATGGCGATATTGAGGTAATTAGAGATGAAAAACAAATACATATATGTTGTAGGAACATTAGAACACATACCATATTGAATTCATTAAGTTATCCTCAATCATCATCGTCCTCAATGAAGAGACATGTTGCACTTGATGAATGGGGCACTGCACAGTCCACCCTCAGTTGTTTGGTACTTGTTGAAGGCTGCACCTCACTTGTTTCTGATTCGTTTGAGACAGAACTAGTCACAGCAGCTTTCTGTAGACAAGCTGTGATAGTGGTTTGCTTCCAACACATTCTTTTCTTTTTCGTTGTAAATTTCCTTATAGCAGGCATTGGCATTTCTTAGATCTCTAGCAACTTTGGTACTTCTCTCAAAGTTAGAATCTTGTGACTCAAAAATATTAATTGCCTTTTCTATGTGTTGAAATGCTTCCTCAATGCCTTTCAAAGTGAAAAAATGAACAGGAGTTTCAGGTGCTGGAACATCTTCTACCTCTTCAACTTCCTCTTGTTCTTCCATATCTAAGAGGTCTGCATTTGTAAGTTCTTCCTTGTGCGCTTCAAGAAGGTCATTTATGTCAGTTGCAATGACGTCCAGGTCCAATCTGTTGGCAAGAGTAACTATTGGTTCTGTGTTCTGCTGTACAATTTCTGCTGGTTCTTCAAACCCTTCAACATTAGTACCAAACAACTGAGGGCAGAGCTTTTTCCAAACACCTTTCATGGTTTTCTCTGAAATTTTGTTCCAGGCATATGCTGTAATTTTTATTGCATCTAAAATAATAAATGATTTTCTCCAAAAATCTTTAAGACTTTGATCTGTCTCGTTATCTGTTGTTTTAATCAACGTTTCAAATGTCTGCCGAAGATACAGTGCTTTAACCCCTTAAGGACTGAGCCAAATGTACACGGTGTGAACGAAACAAAATGTAAACAAAACCTGGCATTTGCGCTACATATCTGTCCAACCGTAATTCACCTCTTTCATATTAAATGCACCCACCCTTATTATATATCATTTTATTCAGGGGAAACAGGGCTTTCATTTAATATCAAATATTTAGCTATGAAACATAATTTAATATGAAATAAATTGGAGAAAATAATATTTTTTTTTATTTTTTTTTGTTCTACATGACATTTTAACTGTCAATGTCATAATACTGTTTGCTTTTACTGCAATAAAATACACATATTTGTATTCAGCAAAGTCTCACGTGTAAAACAGTACCCCCTATGTACAGGTTTTATGGCATTTTGGGAAGTTACAGGGTCAAATATAGCACGTTACATTTGAAATTGAAATTCGCCAGATTGGTTACGTTGCCTTTGGGACTTTATAGTAGCCCAGGAATGAAATTTACACCCATAATGGCATACCATTTGCAATAGTAGACAACCCAAGGTATTGCAAATGGGGTATGTCCAGTCTTTTTTAGTAGCCATTTGGTCACAAGCACTGGCTAAAGTTAGTGTTAGTATTTGTTTGTGTGAAAAATGCAAAAAACACCAATTTGGGCCAGTGTTTGTGACTAAGTGGCTACTAAAAAAGACTGGACATACCCCGTTTGCAATACCTTGGGTTGTCTACTATTGCAAATGGTATGCCATCATAGGGGTAAATTTCATTCTTGGGCTACCATAGGGTCTCAAAGGCACCGTAACCAATCTGGCAAATTTTAATGTGAAATAAATGAAACGCAAGCCTTATATTTGACGCTGTAACTTTTGAAAACACCATAAAACCTGTACATTAGGGTACTGTTGTACTCGGGAGACTTCGCTGAACACAAATATTTGTGTTTCAAAACAGCAAAAAGTATCACAGCAATAATATTTGTCAGGGTATTTATATCGGCAGACATCTTGTGCTATGATAGAAATTAAAAGTGTATATTCTGAGTCACTCTGAACAGACCAGACTCCATTTTGTTATTTCCAAGCTAACAAAAGACACAAGATTTCTTTCTGTAAAACTAACCACGTTCCCAGAGCTAAAGGAATGCATAGGATATACAAACCAAGTGATAAGGAGAACGGGGGTTGGACAGACTGTCTAAAATGTTAATGGAATAGATGCATTCTAAACCCAGACATTTGTGACAGAGAAGATTAAATAATTTAATTTTACTTTCTATTTGTATAAGGTACCATTGTACGGAAAAGGTTAAACTTAGTTCATGATCTGCCATATCAGAAATTATAGCAGGAATTGCGGACACTAAGTCTGTACAAAACTAAGAGAAAACCCTTTGAAGTGAAAGGA